TTTTTTTTTTTTCTGTGTGTGTGTGTAAGTGTGTGTGTGTTGTTGTGTGTGTCAGTTTTGCTTGGAAAGGCATGAGTCGTAGTTTAGTTTAGTGAGCGGTCGCAGGTACCCAGCCAAAGTTTCCCGGAGCGTAGACGAGCGGGATTTGTGCGTCGCGTTCAGGGGGTTTTGTTACTGAAAGTGTCAGCAGCCATGGATGCGAGGACAAACACACGCGAGGTAAAAAAAAAAAAAAAGCCGCCTGCTTTTAAAACCGCTACAGACGATCCACAGCAGGAAGTCTAACGAACGGGCTTGTCTTCCAGAGAAAAAGACCGCAAAGGTGCTTCCAAGTTGCGCAAAAAACTCGGTTAGAAACAGTCGCAAGGTGCGTTAAAGTGTCCTCGCTTGACCATATTTGGTCATTTACATGTAGAGTAGTGAAGTGAAGCCACAGCGGCAGAGAGCTGCTTTCTTTCAGCTGACCCCTCTGAATGAAGAAAAGAATGTCCCAGCGGATACATGCAGCAACTCTGCGAGCTGGAGGCAGAGTTTTTGTCGCTTTGACACCCCAAAAGCCAAAGTGGCAAATAGGCAGGGAAACACCAGGACCCATGGACCCAGCTGTCCTGGTCCGGGTCCACTTTGGATTTTGGAGTTAAGACTTAAGAGTTTCTGGCTCCCCCTATTCATCCATAAATCAACAAAACATGATTCAGTATCAAGCTGTGCGCGTGCAGACATGACGCACGTGTGCGGTGCTGTCATGTTTGTCCACATACAGGAGTTGTAAATGGAAGTAGAAAATATGTGCATCTCACATGATCATCTCGTTCTGTTATGATAGCTGCTGATGTGGAGTTTTGGGATCTAATAATATGTACCGGTACACGATAATGTCTTCATAGAAAACCATGAGAAGAAGCGTGCCCCAACTGGGGTCTTTGTTTGAACACAAGAGCTTTCCATCCATCTTGAATCTTCTGCTTCTTGAGTTTTCTTAACAGATAACAGCCTGAATCCTTATGATCTTATCTGGTAACGCAAACCTTATGGCTGGGGCTGGGTTTCTTGGCTCTCCTTTTCCTCCCACTTAAACCGTCTCCATTGTGCAGGTCAAACAATGACCTTCCCCTGTTTCTGGACTGTCAACACAAAACTATTTAGGAAGTTCTTCTCTTTCATTTGAACCAGTGAGTCTGCTCCGTCCCCAGAAGCTTTTATGGTCTGTCCTTTGGTAGTGTTACGATTCTTGTCTGATGACTGATGGTAAAGCTGCTCAGTGTTGCTCAATATGTGGCTGGGGGAATTATTGGCTGTGGTTTTGACTAATTCAGCCGTGTTTATTGGGCAAATCACAAGATTATCTCCTCTAACTTTTCCCTCAAACTCAACTGATCGTATCTACTTCTAAGAAAGCTCCCTTTTAAACGCTGAAAATGTACTTCCACACTTCATTGCCTTCCATGGAGGCATTCAAGCTGCACATTCACATGATTTAAAGTCACACACCCAATTTCAAACCCCCAAAACTCGGTTTAGGAGCAGTGCTCTTTAATGCCAAGGCAGGAACTGAACAGTACACACAGATTATAAGAAGGACCCATGGCTTGGATTACAGGCAGGTGGATCTGTGAAATGACCTGATTTACTCAGAGGTGAGAAAAAATAATGCAACTCCAGTCTGATTTATCACCAGTAAGCAATATGTTAGAGAAGTTGCAATGGGTTTGAATTATTTAATGTTGCTTTGAGCACTTTCCCACAGTACCATGGCATTGACAGGCCTGTTCAGATGTTCTGCGTTGACTCATTCAGGATGTCAGTTAATCCAGCTCAGACACAAGTAGTTCACCATCAGGACTGAGCTCTGAATACAAACTCTGCCAGCTGTGTTTTCACCTCCTTAATACTTGTCAGAGCCTGTTGATGCTCAGAACAAATGGTCCGGGCCCCACATTTACAAAACCTCTTTAGAAAGTTTTCAGCCATTAACCTGTAATGAATCGTCGGCGGCTTTGTGTCGGAGCCTAATTTTCCCCTTGCCATTAGTAACCACACATGGCTTGCAAACACATTTTCCACATCAGTGAACTCAAACAGCTGAAGCGCAGGTCTCCAGTGGTCATATATGTGATGGCTTCCATCGTGTCCAGCAGTAATCGGAGGACAGAGTAAATCAGTTGTTTTTATCTCGCTTGTGTGTAAAATCACTTAAACTGCTCTATGAGTATAGTTATTTTTGGTTCTGCTTTAACCCAAACTGTCATTGAAGGGTAGAGAAGCGTGACTTTTGTTATTAACGAAGACCAGTTTGAACTGTTGCGCAGATTTTCCGACTGGCTGAGCTGAACCTATGCAGGGATGTGACTTTCCAGAAATTGTATCGCAGCCCACGTATTATTCTTCTTAAGCTTCTTGCACTGGCTTTTGGATCTGTTTATGAAATGAACATTCAGATGGAGATATCAAAGTAACGGTAAAATCGCAATGATACTAATGAAATATTAGCCATATGCATTAATGTAAACAAAAATGTGCTTTAGCTTGTGTTTACAAGACAAACCATCATCTTCCAGACAGGTTTCGTGTTTTAATATTAATCAGAGGGATCTTCCAGCATATTTGTCACATCTCAGGCCCAAAGAATTGACAAATACCTCGGTGAGCTAGAAATTAGCATGAATATGGTGCAATTAATTGAACAGCTTATAAATATGTTAAACTCACAAGTCAGACTCGCACCATTCCTTACAGATTATGAGGTTTTTCTCAGATTTCTACCTCTGTGCGTGAGCCCTTTCTGCTACTTCCAGGACAAACACGTCATGTCGGGTCACACAGAGGCCCGAGTCCAGTGTGGGTCCAATTCAACACATTCACTTAGGAGTAATTTGACCCGCACCAAATGTGAGCATCTTTGTCCGACATAGAGCAAGTTAGCTTGTGACTATTTCAGTTGGGTTACCGTGGATGCTTTTTTAATAGTTTGACTAATACAGTAGATTTATAACACGACCAAATAAACAATTTATATAAATTTCAAATCACATGTATTTGATTTTTCCATCTAAGCCCTCTCAATGCTGGTTCAGACAGTGTCTCATGTAGAAATACTTGTTGTTTTGATTTTAAGTTCAATTCTGACGTGAAGACAGTGGCAATCAGCACATTTGATATCCTCTCAAAAGTCAGACTTTTCGTGTCAGAGGTCAGCTGTGTGACACAGATTCGAGCCTTCCTGCTGCAGCCGCTCAGATGGACATAAGCCTGTTTTCCACATGCCTGCCTCTGCAGCTGTGCATGCTCATATCTGGGTTACAATGAAAGCTTTTTCTCCCCGATTTTCCAAGAAGAGGAAACATGCCACTGTTGCCCTGGAAAAAAAAAAAGGGATAATAAAAAGGTTCAAAGTATCGCTTCCACCTAAATACTGGCTCGAGCCCCAGCGAGGCGGCATGGCAAACCATGTGGCGGTGTAATCACGTAGGTAAGGCCAGGGGCAGCAGCTGCCAGCGGCACCGACCTTGGTGGTTTTTCTTTCTCACACAATATTTCTGTTGTCTGGTCTGTAAAGGCTGTTTGGGCCTTGAACTGCTCTCCGTGAACAGAGATCCCAGGTATAAAGAGGAAATTGTTTTTTGTTTTTCCATAAGGATTGCTCTATGTGGATGATTGAACATGAAAATCTGGATACTAGTAGATGGTATTTGATTCCCACACCTCTCTGCCAACATGATTGAAGTCATCTGGCTGAAGTCTGGGTTTGCCAGTCTGGGACAAAACAGCAGTTTTCTACACAGTGCTGTGGAGTGGGCTGACGTCTTGAGGGAGTTAAGAATTCATAGAGATTTTTTGTTTATGGCTGCCTATTAGCTCTGTGGTGGTTTAAAAAAAAAAGACTTGACATCAGATTGCTGATCAGCAGAAAAATGCACCCTGGTGGACCAGAAAAGCCAAGAAAGGGGAGACAAGGGAACTATAATATAAGGCCCAATTTATGGTGTCTGTTGTGTCTGCTGCTGCTGCGTGTTTTTGGGTTAACTTGTCCACCTCCTTTAAACCATAATAGAATATCAAGCCGCTCTCCCATGACCTCAGCAGCCAGCGCCAGGTGCTGAGCGAGCGCATGTCTGGATGTAGTCTTTGCTGAATGAGAAGTAAGCGCTCTGCATTGAAACCCAGTGTTTCTTCCCTTTCTTTAACACTCTGAAAACATCAATTAATATTTTGAGTGCACTCACTCTCTGATGGATAGGACAAATATTAGCACATTCCTGCATGTGGCGGACGGGGAGAAGTGTGTAGCGGACGATCTGTCAAACGTGACAGGGCCAAGGACTCGTGGACTCTCTTTAGAAGATGTTTTACCAAATGCTCTCTCCCTCTCACACACTGATAAAAGACTTACTTTTTAACTATTCCCTCTCAAGGACGCGCACACACAAAGAGCTCTTTTATTCCCAGCGGGAGTCTAATGGAGACGCCATCATCGTAGTTCCACATTTCATCAATATGCTCTTGTTGCAGAGGAGAATATATCTCACTGATGTGTGTTGCATTCCTTTGTACTCACTTACTGGACACAAATGGGACAAAAAAAAGGAACGATCCAGAAAGGCGTATTGAGAAGTGAGAATTTTTATTTCAGCGTGCAGTTTGAAGCGTTGGCAATAGCTGCTACAAGCAAAGGGACTTAGAGGAGCTATTTTTTACGAAGTTATGGAGTAAATCAGTGGAAGGCTGGTCATAAAGCATCAAAAGAGCTGGGAAGTGTGGATGTGTGATAGAGGGAGCACGGTTACATTAGTGCTGTATCCTGTCAAGTCATGATGACAAAATAAAGACGCCGTGTGTGTGTGTGTGTGTGTGTGGTTAGGTAGAGTACAAACTGTTTTTCTTCCAACATGTATCAGAGACATTTTCCTCTCATGAAAGAGAGAGAGAGATACCGAACAAAGAGTGTATAACAACCCGCAAACAGCAGTCAAAAGTGCATTCAGCTGAAAAGTTGAGTTTAAATTCATGTCGAGAGCGCAGACGCTGCGCAGCCCCCTGAACCTTTTCATTTGTGGTTTAGTTTTCCCAGCCAGTTTCTTGTCTGTTTTAGTTCAGTCACAGTTGTTATCAGAGCTGTTCCCAGCTGTGATGTCTGTGCGTTACCTGCTCAACAGGCAGACGCAGTCAGCAGCCAACTCCCTCCTTCTTAAAGACTTAAAGATTTTTGTTGAACATAGATTCACTTCCACAAAACAACCCCAGGTCTTGGCTTTGACATTCCTTTAACTTGTCTTTATACTTAAGGAAATCTTTATCGGTTTCAGCCTTGGCACCCTAAGTTACCCCTTTACGTCTTTACCAAATAAGAGTTTGCCATGGTTCTCAAATTCAAAGGAGGGTGTCCTGATACCATCTGGTTGAGTGCCCTTATTAGCAATCTTGAGAATTTACCAGCACACGATTTATGATTTCTCTGACCATTTGTTTACAGATTTCTCAGAATGAATTGAATGGTTAAAGTTAATCTACGAGACACAACATCTAAACAAGCACACGTGTTGTCTGATATTTGATAAAAACACGAAAATGTGAAAAAACAAAGTCCCCTGGACCATGATTGAATACAACCTCAGCAAAGTGCTCAATGATTATCTCACTTGCTTTCCTCTTCGAGCTAACATATAATCCTCTTATTACACTTTTTTGAAATTATACTTAAGCCTATAACTATAAAACTATAAAAATGACAGTTTAATCTAAAGCAGTTTGTCTAAAAATGTCAAACTAAGGTCAGGCTGGGGCAACAGGTCAGCATTTATTACGACCCACCGAAAGAATTCTTTCTCGTTGAAATGATGGTTTGTGTGTAGATACGAAAACTAAAAAAACCATAGTTGTGTTTTTTTCTTTTCTTCCTGTCAGTTCTTTAAAATGGCTCCTGTGCAGCTTCTGGGATAACTTTGAAAGGAAAAGCACTTATGCCAAGTTGGTAGAGATAAACAATCTCCCTGAAAACCATTCAGTGCAACACCCCCAAGTCAGTTTCTCAGCTCAAGAGAGATAAAGCCCGACGAATCACGCTTTAGGAAAACACTTCATATATTTACTGAAAAAACAAGTTGAAGGAAACTGTTTCCATGCAAAAAAACCCTGCCCCAAACATCTGTAATCATTATCTGAGGAAGGTGCATTTGGACTCCAACTGTCCAAATCGGTCAGAGTTTGACCCGCCATCTGCAAAGTCCAAAGTCTACACAATGTGGACTATTGTCTGGAACCTTCACACAGAAGGAGCGTGCATCCTGATGACATTTCTGTCGTCCCACTGGTATGAAACTGGAAGAATATTCTGCATAGAAAAAGAAATGATGTGCTTTCTTTTGTAAGATGGTTGAGGCTTTATAGACAGACGTTTGTTTGAACGGCAAACATATTCGAACTGTTATGACCCGTTCAAGTTCAAAATGTGAAGACTGTGAGCACAACAGAACTTGAGCTGGTTCCGTCGTCTGGCTCTAGGCACAAACAACTGGACACAAAAGTTTTACATCCATTGCATCTCATTCTCACGTCAGTTCAGACTTGAAATTTAGAAAAACGCCTAGAGGAAGTTAGGGGTTGCAAAATCTTCCGTAGTCCCTCAGAAATTGGTGGGAGATGTTATAAAAAAAAAAAAAAGACACCAGCATGCTTCCTTTCTGGACCGTGTCCAAAACATTTATTGATGAGCATTAAGCAACACAACTGTGAGAGAGCAACGGGCAAAATGTACATGCAAACAGGGATAAATCTGAATTTGAGTGAAAAGGCAGCAGAAAATGAGGAGAATTTAAGCTAATTCCTGCCCAAAATACAGGAGAGTTGTTGACTGTCAGTTGCCTTTGGCTCGGATATCTCCAGAGAAATGTTGTCTTGAATGTGGTTGAATGCACTTTAAACGTACTCTGGAGCTTTCTTAGAACTTCTTGTTTACAGCCAGTGATTTTGCGTAGGGAGATGGTATCAGAGCTCAGGAAGTCAGCTAGCTAACGCCTTGGTGTTTACACTGCCTGGTCCACCTCGGGCCTCTGACCCATTTCTGCAATCCTAACTTTCTCACACCAAAGCAGAAAGTGGGAATTGCAACATTTAATCAGTGCTTTGGAATGAGTGCAGCTAAAGTCCATAGAGCTGACATTAATTTGAAAAAAGACAGAACATTTGAATTTGAACAGTTTTATTTTTTGCCGCTTCTGCCAAATGTAATATATATTTTTTTGTGTTTTACAACTTAAAATCCCAAAGTTGTCAAGTTCTCATAAGGACATGAACATTTTTTAATATTCTACTGGTTTCATACGACTACACCAAACACAATCAGTACTGCCTCAAACTGATTTGATCCATAAACTGATCTGTATTCTCAATAAGTGGAAAATTAGAGGAAAATCCCCAATAGAATCATATTTATTGGGGATGGGCTCCCAGTCTGAGTCCCTGCTATACCATAAATGTACAGACAAGTGTATCTCTCTCTATATACATATGAATATATGTATACACACTCATATCTATCTATCTATCTATCTATCTATCTATCTATCTATCTATCTAT